AGAAGCTTTCTATTTAAATGTTTTTGCACAGCAATATTTAAAAGAGGGTTTCACACGATTGGGCATTGCCCAAAATTTGGGGCAAATCGTATCCCAATCGTGTGAATACACAAATATTTTTCTTTATCCCAATCAAGAAAAATAATTTGTTTAAATTTTTCAATATGTAGAAGTTCACTGTATTGTACCAATCGTGTGACTGCAAGAAAAACTGTCGTCCCATTTTTTTTTATTTGATACCAATAGCCCAATATAAAAAAGGACAAATCTGTACAAATATAACAATCGCGTGACACTCACTGCCATAAGGGTTTACATATCGTATATGTATTAATGTTTATATTCTATGAATTTGTTAAAGTTTTTAAATTATATACTCGTTCATTTGTATTTTATTTATACGAAAGCTCAGTAAATGATTAAAACGATGTTTAAATTAAATATAACACTGATGTAACTAAATATTTTTGTGTCATAATAATAATGCTAAGAAGATTACCATTATTGCAAATGTATGCCACTGATTGAAAAAGGCTGAATAATTTTTACATGATTTATGTTCCTAACGTGACACAAAAAACGCAAACTTAATTTTGGGTCGTAGATTACGGATCTGTATACCGTTTTTCTAGATCAGGTCATATTCCCAAAATATTTTCATTTTAAGTTTGCATTGCGAATGAAAAAAAATTCAAACTTTAACATGGAAAATGTTACGCATACGCCATGTCCGAGTGTGTACAATTACGGCCATTTACGATGTGGCGTATGAATAACATTTTTTCTTCGCCCTATTCCATACAAACATTATTTTGCATTTTTATTTACCCATTCAAAACTTGTTTATTTATCCAACAATTTTTATCGCTAGTAAATTGATTTTTGGCAAAACAACAGGTTTTAATACAAATTAAAAAAATTACAAAATAGAACGTGAATATGTAAATTCGGTCGCAGGGAATTTAAAACTTGGTTTTCAGGACGCCGGGGGTTGTGAAATTACCGTCATCTTGAAAACGACCATTTTTGGGCCGACATCCAGTTCTATTTAAGGTGTTTTATTTTAAATTATAAAAATTTCAAAATTTAATAAATTACGTACAGTACAAAATATTTGTACTTTTGAACATTTTTTTTTTGTATAAAAATTAAAATACATTGGCGAAAATTACCTGATCTGGAAGCGGAGCTTTTCTCATGGACACGCCCGCACAGATATCAAAAAACTTACCGTCAGTGAAAAGCGGCAAAGATATTCGCCCAATTTTATTCAAAAGCTTTGTGGTAAAATTCGTTTATAAATATTTCAATATTTTAATATCTTTTTTGCAACAGCATCGTGAAGCTTAAAAATAAATAGAAAATTCAAAATCAAAAAGTGCTGGCTTTCAGCTCCAAAACGCTTCGGAAAAGGCTTGCTGTATGAACAATTTCATATAGCTACAGCAATTTGAAAGCTTCACCCAACTCGGAACGGCTTCGCTCGGCTCGGCCCCGTTTTCTGTGTGAACGTACCTTAAGAGTAGCATGCGGTGCTCACGGATTTGCAAGGAGTTCATAATTCTCGTTATCGCTTAGTTTACCGCGACAAAAATTGTATACATCATTGAGCGGAACCTTCAAGAACGTGAATTTAAAACTTACTGGCATCTTGAAAACTATGGACTTAGAGAGGCGATCATTTTTGGATTTTTCTCTATCTCATCATTATATACTGGAAACTGCGGGACTCAGTGACTTACTCTGAAATCAGTTGCACTAACGTTCTCAGCGTCGGCGCGTCTTAATTTGTTCGCTACTTGACACTCGGTTGGTGAATTTTCGGCTGTCACTGTAGTTTGTGCAAATCGACAGCGGGAGGGGCGGAATTTTCCGGTTCAAAATAGTTCGTTAATTTTACAGAATGCATTCGGAACGTAACACTTCTTGTTTTGGTGATAAACGGGCATTGGAAATACACTTTTTTCTCCCAAATAGGTAAATTAATTTTTTTCTCAAAATATGGATCAGTAACGCCGCGTTCACGTTAAAACTCTAAATGA